GGGCCTGAGTTCAGCTTCTCACGGCTCCCAGCCTGATCTCCGACGCATCGTGGAGCTACCTGCACCCGCCGACTTCCTTAGTCTGAGCAGTGAGACCAAGCCCAAGCTGATGACGCCTGACGCCTTCATGACACCCAGCACCTCTTTACAACAGGTTTGCTGGGGTCGGGGGCTTGGGGCTTAGGGCAGGGGGACCTGGGAATCCCTACCCACAGACCACAACTCTTACTCTCTGCATCTCCCCAGATTGCTTCATCCCCAAGTAATAGCAGCAGTAGTAGCAGCAGCAGCAGCAGCAGCTCCTCTCTTACAGCTGTGTCTGCCATGAGCAGTACCTCCGCTGTGGACCCCTCCTTGCCCAGGTGAAGTGAGGGTCAGAGTTGGGGGATGGCAAGGGCTGGTGCCAGTTGATGCCAAGGTCCGCTTGCTTATACCTCAGCCTTCCTGCCATCAGGCCACCTGAGGAGCTGACCTTGAGCCCCAAGCTGCAGCTGGATGGCAGTCTGACAATGAGCAGCAGCGGTGGCAGCAGCCTGCAGACAAGCCCCCGCAGCCTCCTGCCCAGCCTGCTCCCAGGTCCAGCTGACAAATTGACTCCCAAAGGGCCTGGACAGGTGCGTGAATGTGAAATGCAGGTTAGCAGGTGTATAACTTCAGGGAGGTCAGAGCAGTCTTCTCCTATAGCACCCTGTCTGCTTGTCCTGTTCTGCCTCAAGTGGCCCATATTTCCCTTGACGTCATCTCAGCCTCCCATATTCCCTGCAGGGCAGCTCCTCAGCTTATCCATTCCCACCTCATCTCCTCCTGAGCATACTGCACCCACCTTCCCCACATTACTGCACCCCCCTCCCCCACATCACTGCTAACACCAGTGCCTCGTCTCTGTGTTTCCCCCACCCCTATTTCCTTCCATCTAAGTCCCCGTTTTGGCCCACTTCAGGTACCTACTGCTGCCTCTGCACTCTCCCTGGAGCTGCAGGAAGTTGAGCCCTTGGGGCTGCCCCAGGCCTCCCCCAGCCGTGCCCGCTCTCCTGATGTTATCTCCTCGGCTTCCACTGCCCTGTCGCAGGACATCCCTGAGATCGCATCTGAGGCCCTGTCCCGTGGCTTTGGCTCCTCTGCTCCTGAGGACCTTGAGCCCAACAGTATGGCCTCAGCTGCCTCCGCACTGCATCTGCTGTCCCCACGGCCCCGTCCAGGGCCCGAGCTCGGCCCCCAGCTTAGCCTGGATGGAGGCCCGGGGGATGGGGATCGGCATAGTACCCCTTCCCTTCTGGAGGCAGCCTTGACCCAGGAGGCCACAGCCCCTGACAGTCAGGTCTGGCCAACAGCACCAGACATTACTCGGGAGACCTGCAGCAATCTCGCAGAAAGGTGAGGAGCTTGGGAGGGGAAAAGTATACTGTTGGTAAGAGTTTCAGACAGTCATCTGAGTCGGCCTGTCCTCCCAGCCCCAGGAATGGCCTTCAGGAAAAGCATAAGAGCTTGGCCTTCCACCGACCACCTTACCACTTGCTGCAGCAACATGACAGCCAGGACACCAGCGCTGAGCAAAGGTAGATGCCACTCACACCCTTTCTCTCACAGGGAGGGCCAGCAAGTGGTAGGCACTTCGGCCTCTCTCTCCCCTTTTCACAGTGACCATGATGATGAAGTGGCCAGCCTTGCCTCTGCTGCAGGGGGCTTTAGCACCAAAGTTCCCACTCCACGGCTACCTGCCAAAGACTGGAAGACTAAGGGATCCCCTCGGACCTCACCCAAGCTCAAGAGAAAGGGCAAAAAGGATGATGGGTAGGAGAGGTCCCGGGGACAGGGAGAGGGGTGGCCCTTAAGTTGTCTGCATGACTGGACCTGAGGTGCTTCTTGCCTATGGCAGGGATTCAGCCGTGGGATCCCGGCTCACGGAGCACCAGGTGAGTGCACAAATACCCTTTTTACCTCTAGGACTCCTCTCTCAGGGTCGGGAGGAGCTCTGGGCCATTCCCTAGTCCAATGTGTGGGGACATGTGGGGTAGGCATGTGATTGTTGGTGCTACTGGCAGGCGGCAGAGCCCCCTGAGGACTGGCCAGCACTAATTTGGCAACAGCAGAGAGAGCTGGTGGAGCTGCGGCACAGCCAGGAAGAGCTGCTGCAGCGTCTGTGCACCCAACTCGAAGGCCTGCAGAGCACCGTCACAGGCCACGTGGAGCGTGCCCTCGAGTCTCGGCATGAGCAGGAGCGTATCCTTGTGGGCAGTGACCCGGCATGGCAGAGGGGTACGGGCAGCTGCGGCATTCTTAGACCTAGAAGGGAAATGGGACCTGCTACAGGCCTGTTCCTTAGCTACAACACAGAGCGGCGGCTGGAGCGGGCACTGGCCGAGGGGCAGCAACGGGGTGGGCAGCTGCAGGAACAGCTGACACAACAGCTGTCCCAGGCACTGTCTTCAGCTGTGGCTGGGCGACTAGAGCGTAGCATACGGGATGAGATCAAGAAGACGGTGCCTCCATGTGAGTTTTACATGGAGACTTCTGGGTGGGCTGCGTGGGAGTGGGCCCCCTGCTTGCCAAGCTTCTTCTCACGGCTCCATCTCTCCCTCCGCACCCTGCCGCAGGTGTCTCTCGGAGTCTGGAGCCTGTGGCAGGCCAGCTGAACACCTCGGTGGCCACCAAGCTCACAGCTGTGGAAGGGAGCATGAAAGAGAATATCTCCAAACTGCTGAAGTCCAAGGTGCTAAAGGGGCAAAGATGAAGGAGGTTGGTGGTTGGTGGGGTTGTCAGGCCAGCTTGGGCTCAGGCTTTTGGCTTGGCCCGGCCCCTCCCTCTACCCCCAGAACTTGACAGATGCCATCGCCCGAGCAGCTGCAGACACGTTACAGGGGCCCATGCAGGCCGCCTACCGGGAAGCCTTCCAGAGTGTGGTGCTGCCGGCCTTTGAGAAGAGCTGCCAGGCTATGTTCCAGCAGATCAATGACAGCTTCCGGCTGGGCACACAGGAATGTGAGTGGAGTCATATATGCTCCAAGGTGGAGGGGCTGTCCTTTTCTTCCCCATCGCTCTCATGGCCCCCATGATCAACTTTCAGACTTGCAACAGCTAGAGAGCCACATGAAGAGCCGGAAGGTGCGAGAGCAGGAGGCGAGGGAGCCTGTGTTAGCTCAGCTGCGGGGCCTCGTCAGCACACTGCAGGGTGCCACTGAGCAGATGGCAGCCACTGTGTCCAACAGTGTTCGGGCTGAGGTGCAGCACCAGCTGCATGTGGCTGTGGGCAGGTGTGTGGGTAGGGTACTGGGCAAGGTGGTAGGTTTGGAAAGGGCCACACCGGATTCCCTATCTACCTCATCTCCCTCATTTCCCTTTGCAGCCTGCAGGAGTCCATTTTGGCACAGGTACAGCGTATCGTTAAGGGTGAGGTGAGTGTGGCACTCAAGGAGCAGCAGGCCGCCGTCACCTCTAGCATCATGCAGGCCATGCGCTCAGCTGCTGGCACGCCTGTCCCTGCTACCCACCTCGATTGCCAGGCCCAGCAAGCCCACATCCTGCAGCTGCTGCAGCAGGGCCACCTCAATCAGGCCTTCCAGCAGGTATGCCAGCCATTAGGCCCAGTTAAGGCTCAGGTGTCTCCTGACAAGGCCCACACACTAAATGCTAATCTCTACCCAGGCCCTGACAGCTGCTGACCTGAACCTGGTGCTGTACGTTTGTGAAACTGTGGACCCGGGCCAGGTTTTTGGGCAGCCACCCTGCCCACTCTCCCAGCCTGTGCTCCTTTCCCTCATCCAGCAGCTGGCCTCTGACCTTGGCACTCGAACTGACCTCAAGCTAAGGTGAGTGGGCGCATTTGGACCAGGAGATGGGCTCAGGTGGAGGTGGGAGAACAGTTCAAAGCAGAGACTCCAGCTCTAGCTTGACTCCCTCCCTAATTCTCTCCACCAGTTCCCTTTGCCTCCACACATCTCAGGCCTGGAGGGTTCCTTTGTCAGGCATCCCTCTCAGCCTCAGTGCCACCAGGTGGCGCTCCCATCTGCTGGAGCCCACCTGTAGCCTATACCTTTCCTCCATCCCTGTCCTCAGCTACTTGGAAGAGGCTGTGATGCATCTGGACCACAGTGACCCTATCACTCGGGACCACATGGGCTCCGTCATGGCCCAGGTGCGCCAGAAGCTCTTCCAGTTCCTGCAGGCCGAACCACACAATTCACTCGGCAAAGTGGCCCGGCGTCTCAGCCTCATGTTGCATGGCCTCGTGACCCCCAGCCTCCCTTAGCTAACTTGCCCTGGGGTGGGGTGGCACTGAAGGCCAGCAGACAGGCCTAGGCCAAAGCTGGGTCATGTCTGCTCTTCACCTGCTCAGGCTTCCGCCTCTGCACCTCTGAGGTGGTTGAGGGGGTGAGCACTGGCTGTGGTCTGCAGCTTACGGTAGCCAGCAGGTTTAGGCTGGGCCCAGGGTGGGTATTGTGCCTTCTTGGGTTCTGCCATGCCTGGAGCATGACACCCCCCTCCCCCCCCGAGATTGTGATACCACTTGAGTTGAATTTTCCATGTTGCTTTTTACCTCTGTTTTGGATCTTTTTGTTTTTGAAAAACATTAAGGAATTCAATTAAATGCTTTTGGAATAAAATGAAATATGTGTGCTTTTGGTGTGTCTTTGGAGTGACTTTGATAACTGCTCTCTATTCCCTGGCCTAGCTTCTCCTTTTGTGGAGCCCTGTCAAGCCAACCCACTCCCCACGGTTCTGGCCACCCATCCTCATCGGTCTTCCTACATCTCCCCTCTCCATCCTTGGGCCAACGGCCCTGGGCTCAGCTTAGCACAGCAGCGATCCCCTGGGCTCTTCTCTCTAGGGTCCCTCTTTGTCACCTTGCCTACTGATTTGTCTACTGGTGGTGTGGCTGCCTGCTGGCTTTGAAGCCCCGCCCCCAGCTCCCATCCAATCACAGCCCCTCCTTCCGGAGGCTGGGCTGAAGGGCTGCGCTCCAAGCGGAGCTTCTGGTTCTGGCACCAGGCTCCCAGCCAGGGATGATGCTCTGCTGCTGCTGTCACCACGGCCAGCGGCTGCTGCCCCCCCGAGCGGTGAGGCTGTTGCTGCTGCTGCTGTTACCACTCGGTGAGTGCCGGCCAACTAGACCTGGGCCTGACACCCTCTCGGCAGGTTGGGTTTAGGGTGTGTGTTGGGGCTGGGGCACAACCTTCCTGAATGCTGGAAGCCAGTGTGGCAAGGAGGTGCAAGGGCTCCATGGAGGGAAGAATGTGTACCGTGTCTTTAGAACTGAAAGTGAGGGGTGTGAATTGAGCCCTGGTTGTGGGGGGAGGACCTCAACATTTCACAGACCCCATTCTGATAAAGGGAAGACAGAGCCTTTGATGAGACTCAGACTAGCTTTGGGGTTCCCTGAGGTCTTCTGTTAGGATCTGGCCTGGGTCCTGACACCCTCCATCCTGCTCTACCTGTCTGAAAACACTTGTTTTGGATGGGGTGGGAAAGTCTGACTAAGACTGCAGAAAGACTGGATGGTGCTGGGGAGGGGAAGTGTGGCCTGGACCCTGTCCCTCTTTATCCTGTCCTTGCTCCTTCACTTGGATCATCTTTACCCGACTTGGGGCTGCAGAAGCCCCAGAAGCTCAGAGGAAGAGCTGACCCCTGGGACGTGAGGACATTACCCTGTCTTCCTCCACATTGGCTCTGTTCAGTTCCACCTAGAACAGAGCCCAGGCAGGTGATCCCCAGATGTGCCCCTCCTTCCCCTGGGGTACCTCTTTCACGCTGAGTCACGTCCCCAGAGCTTGCCAGAGTAACTAAGCCCCTGGGGGTTGGGAGGTGGGCCAGTTCATCCTATCAATTATTTTCCACCCTACCAACCCCCTCCCCCCATCCCGTCCTTTTATCTCCCCTGGAGGCAGCTGCCATGGGCCAAAGCCGCTGTGACATATACCAGGGCTTCGCCAAGTGTCTCATCCGCTTGGGGGATGGCATGGGCCACGGAAGCGAGCTGGAGGCCATCTGCAGGTAAGAGCAGGTGCAAGGACAGCAGCCTGACCCTCTCTACTCTCCGTGCCTGAGCCTCTTCCCATTCCAAAGCCTCCTTGTCCCACCTAACTCCCCTAATCCCATGCCCTGAACAGGTCTTGGAATGACTTCCACATCTGCGCCTCTCAAGTTCTGTCAGGTTGCCCGAAGGAGGCGGCTGCTGTGTGGGAGTCACTACAGCAAGAAGCTCGTCGGACCCCGCACCCAGATAACTTGCACACTCTGTGTGGCGGCCCTGTGCGCGTCTGGGAGCGTGGTGCAGGCCCCGAGACCAACCAGGAGACACTGAGGGGGACAGCGCCTGCCCTAACCCCAGCCCCTGCTCCCCTGCTGCTGGCGGCGGCTCTGGCATTTTTTTGCCTCCTGGGGCCTCTGGCCTAGCCATTGGGGTCCAGTAGCAGTGCCCCCGCTGCTACCCCAGCTCTGATGGCTGTCCTCGAAGCTCTGTAAGGTGCATTCAGCTTTCATTAAAGGTATTTATATTTGTACTGAGCTCCTTCCCTTCTTCTGGCTGCTCACTGCCTGACTGAGACGGAGGCCTCCAGAAGCTGATTCCCAAGACAGAGTGGGCAGGGCCCAAGGCTGCCACAGGGGACTCCATCTTTCTCCTTGCAAACACTCATTTCCCAGGGAGCAGTGCCGAGCTTTCCATTACGTGCAGGTTCCAGGGCCTCTCGTGGTCTGTCCTCCCAGGTTGGTATTCCTAGCCCTACCTGGCCCCTATGGAACCTGTGAGATGGTGGAGTGTCTCATCCTACTCCCCACTATGGCCGTCCCCCCCGCACCCCTGCTTCATGCTAGCCTCCAGACTCCTGACCATCTCATCCCCTCCTCTGCTGAACTGCCACCTTAGCCTTTAAGACAACTCAAAGGAAGTGCTCTGTCCTCTTCCTCTCTGGGGTCGTGTCCATCTGAGGAGGGCGTGTTTCAGAAGGTGGGGAGCCCCTGTTGGAATTTACATTCAGTTCCCCAAGGTGACCTGGAGCGGCTGAGACTGGAGTCCCAACAAGGGTTCCCCTGGCCTCTGCTCTCCACAAGCTTCTTCTCTGAGAAGAGGTGTGCAGCGTGAAATCAAAACAATCCCAGAAGGCATTCTGGAAGCATGGAATGGGAGTGAGGGGAAGAGCAGGAGTCAGCATGGGCACATTCTGAGGGAAGGAGGGGGCTCAGAGAGGGTGAGAGCCTCCTCTGTTCAGTCTCCTACCACCAGCACCAGACCCTATTTCAACCCCCACACACACACACACACAGTGGGCACTGCATGGCCTCCTCACTAACTTCTACTCTCCCTCCCTCTGCTTTATTCCCCATTTTCTATATTGAAAAACCGATTCTGCTGTTAAGCTCCTTCTCATTGTCTAGGAGGCCCTGCTGTTAAGCTCCTTCTCATTGTCTAGGAGGCCCTACATAAGCCAGCTCTACCCACAATTTATCCGTCTACTCAACTCCCCTCGGCAGCAGCACAGAGGAGAGGCGTGATCTACCTATCCAGCCCCTGGGGTCAGGGGAGGCTTCAGAGAAGGAGCATGATAGGGGCAATAGGAGGTAAGGATGGAGGCTGACAAGTGGTGGAGGAGAGGCGGGGCTGATTTGGAGAGGGCATTACAAGAGGGGCCCAAAAGAATCAGTTGTGAGGGAGAGAGAGAGGGGTGGGAACCCATATCAAGGCAGGCCAGATTGACACTAAAGCCCGTCCTGGGAGGCTGTGCCTCAGGACAGAATCAGGCCTGAGAGGACCCTTGCAGAGGCTCCAGAGTGACAAGTGCTTCCAGAGACCTCCACCAAAATATGTAGGAGTCCTTCTTCAATCCATGCTTCCCAAATACCATCCCATGCCGATTAGGTGAGGTGCTTCCATTAATTCCCTCTCTGCCCCATCTTGGCTCCTGTGCTTCATTTGCCTGTACTTTTATCCCCACTTTTCTCTCCACCAGCACTACCCATCTTCTATCACCTGAAGGAGAAAGTTCAGAAAAACAACACTCCCAGATTTGCCCCTTTTTGACCACCAGCATTTTCCAGAAGGAAAGACCATACTTTTGTTCCTCTGGGTCTTTGTACATCTATTATCTCTACCCTCCCCCATTTTCTCCTGGTGAACTTCTTTCTGGTTCATTACCACCTCCTCCAGGAAATACTTCTACTCTGATTCCAAGCTGAATCAGCAGCCTCCTGCAGGTCCACACAGCTCGCGGGCTCTCGTCTATCTCAGTACTGATAGTGCTAGCTTATTACTGTCAGAATTCCTGTCTATGTACTCCCCAAGGGTCCTCTTTGTATCTCTACTACCTGATCTAGGGCTGGGTATAAAGAATATAATTATGGCGGGGGCGGGGGCGGGGAGAATATACTTTGGGAGGTGTGGAATGAAAGATAGAATCTCCTAAGTCCAGCATAGGAAGTGTTACAGTCAGCAAGTTCTTGGGCTGAGAATGTCTGGGCATACTATCAGAAGGGATGGTGCTGGGGATCCAGACCCCAAAAGTCTTCCCAGAGTTACTCTTGATAGCAGGGGCTGACTGCTCTGGCTAGCCACAGCAGAGATTACCATACTCCTACTGTGACCTACTTTTGCCTGGTGTTTGCTCCCTAAATCCTTGCTCGTCCCTGGAATTGAGTGACCTGGAGTGTGTGTATGGGTTTGGTGGTGGGGACAGAATCTGCTCTCTGGCTAGGGGCTTAAGAGCTTTGTATATTTTATCCCGAAGCTGGAGGAGAGGGATAAGCTGATAGTCATATAGACTGGACCCTGGACACAGCTGCCCAGGCCAGAGCATCCTGGGGGCAGTGTTTCTCCTTTTTTCAGCTCTGCAGACATCGAACAGCTCTAGTGGTTAGAACATCAGCCTGCCAACTGAAGGGTTGCGGGTTTGATTCCAGTCAAGGGCACACACCTCAGTTGCAAGCTCTATCACTGGCAACCAGTTGATGTGTCTTACATCCATATTTCTCTCTCTGTCTCTCCCTCTCCTTTCCATTCAATAAGAATTAATTTAAAAAATATCCTTGGACTGAAACCGGTTTGACTCAGTGGATAGAGCGTCGGCCTGCAGACTGAAGGGTCCCGGGTTCGATTCAGTCAGGGCATATACCTTGGTTGTGGGCACATCCCCAGTGGGGGTGTGCAGGAGGCAGCTGATTGATGTTTCTCTCTTATCGATGTTTTTGACTCTCTATCCCTTTCCTTCCTCTCTGTAAAAAATCAATAAAATATATTAAAAAAAATATCCTTGGGTGAGGATTAACAAAAAAAATTTATAATTCCCTACTAAATAAAACAGACAAAATGATATTTATTAGTGTTAATTCACTTTTAGATTTAAAGTATAACATTAGCTTATATCAGTGATTTTCAACCTTTCATCCCATGACATAATCTAATTACTAAAATTCTTCAGCACACCAAAAAATATATTTTTTGCCATTCTGACAAAAAAATTATTATAGCCTGGTTAAGTGTGGCTTAGTGGTTGAGCGTCGACCTAGGAACCAGGTCATGGCTCAGTTCCAGGTCAGGACACATGCTTGGGTTTTGGGCTCCATTCCTGGGAGTGTACAGAAGGCAGCCATTTAATGATTCTCTTTCATCATTAATGTTTTTATCTCTCTCTTCCTTTTGAAATCAATTTTAAAAATTAAAAATTTTATTCATATCAGATAGCTATTGTGTTGGCTGTTGTCTTTTTTTTTTTTTTTTTTTTTTTTTTGGCAATCTAAGGGAAAAGAGGTTAGTGCCCCTGGCTAAATAGTCAGGTATTGCATGTTTTAAAAATTCTTGTAGCACACTGGTTGAAAATTGCTAGCTTGTCCAGCTGGCGTGGCTCAGTGGTTGAACATCAACCTATGAACCAGGAGGTCTCGGTTCAATTCCTGTCAGGGCACATGCCCGGGTTTCGGGCTTGATCCCCAATGTGGGGTGTGCAGGAGGCAGCCTGTCAATGACTCTCATCATTGATGTTTCTCTCTCCCTATCCCTTCCTCTCTGAAATCAATAAAAATATTTTTTAAAAGAGAAAATTGCTGGTTTATGTAGTCCATTAGAAACAGTTCCATGTACAAAGTCTTCATTAAACAAAGACTTGTTGAATAAATGAACAGACTGAAATTAGGAAGATGGATGGGGATTACAATCCTTTTATTACCTGCAGCATCTATTCCCCAGCCCTCTGCAACTTTGGTTGTTTGTAAAGTAGTGAAACAATTAAACAATTCCGATCCTATAGAAAAATTGTGAATAGTAACAAGATTTTAAAAAATATCTTTTTGCCAAAACCAGTTTGGTTCAGTGGTAGAGTGTCGGTTCGATTCCGGTCAAGGGCATGTACATTGGTTGCGGGCACATCCCCGGTAGGGGGTGTGCAAGAGGCAGCTGGTCGATGTTTCTCTCTCATTGACGTTTCTAGCTCTCTATCCCTCTCTCCTTCTCTCTGTAAAAAATCAATAAAATATATCTTCTTGCTTTGCAGTCTTAGCATTCACTTAAATTCAATAACAACTAGAATGGGAAAAAAAAAAAAAAAAAGGTTACTCCTAAATTGGTCTAAGACTAAAGACCAATCCTCAAGTTTGCCATTTTCAACTCCTCTGAGATGGAGGCCAAATTTAATACATCTGAATGCCTGATTTATTTTCACTGCAGTTTAAAAAAAAAAAGATTTAATATAATTTAAGTTGATCCTTTTCGGAGTTCCAGCGGCACTTCCAGAAACCTGTTGAAACGCATTATGTCCCCAACCCTGTAAGACAGAGCACCCTCCTCCCTAACCAGAAACTTGAAACTTTCTTCCTACCCAGTTCCTCCTTTTCCTTTGCTATTATCTTTTTAATTAATCTTTTTAATATTTCAGTTATAGGTGACATTAAGTACTAATTTATATTAGTTCCAGATGTACCTATTTTGCTATAACAGGTTCCTCTCTCTCAGCCAGCCTGCAGAGGAACTCCTTTGAACCCCACAGTGAGACATCCCCTGCCCCTACAGAGACCGTCCTGGCCCTGTCCGCGTTGATTGGCAGGCCGTGCTCGGAGCGCCCCCCAATCGCGTAGCCGGCCCTCGCGAGGCCCCTCCCTCGCCTGGCCCCGCCCCCACCCCATAGGCCGCCCGGGTTTGTTTTGGCGTCAGGCGCGCTCGGTGATGACGCTACGACGCTAACGCCTGAGGATGGCGGCGGCGGCGGCGGCCGTGGCCGCGGCCCCGAGAGGGTTAGCACAGCCGCCAAGACACCGAAGAGCCCGCCGCCCCCGCGAGGTGAGGCGGCCCGGCCCAGGGCTACGGCCCAACGGGCGGGAGGGGCTGACGAGCTGCGGCCACGGCCGCCTCCAGGCGCACCGGGCCTGTCTCTGCCCAGACTGGAGCCCTCGGCCCGGCCCGTGCCAGGTGT